ATAAGTGAAAATTATTGATATGACCTTGTTGCCTGACCTTCTAGTCAAAATAGAAAAATATTTTGTTTTTACATGAATTATTATGAAAATAACAGTCACTTTGAGAGTTTTTGTTTTGTTTTGCTTTTGATTTTTAGCAATTACTGCAGAGCTTTATGATCGAGAAAACTAAGCTCATTCCTGTCAAGACTGTTCTGACGTATAGAGACTCTGTGGGTTAGAGTAAATCTGCCCCTGTGGTTTCTGAAGCTGTCTTCACTGGAACAGAAAGCCCGTCTTTCTTCTGAGGAGTAGCTAGTGATATCAAACTACTGACCTTGTGGATAACAGCCCAATCTGCCATCCACTCTACCGCCAGGGCTCCTTTGAACTTTACGAGACAGTAAAGAAACTAGGTTTCTTTCTATTGTTTACTGAAGAGAGATGATTGAGAAGGTAAGAGAGGGCTGCTTGTAGCTTTAGATTACTTTCATTTTAGAACACTTTTCATACTAAAAACCATTGATCTCTAACAGTCTTTCACTGGAGAGCAACAAGAAAAGAAAAAGTCTGACTTTTTAAGCTCAAATGGCAGTTCCAGTGAAAAGGTGCCTCACGAGGAGTTAGTGCAATCTTTCTTATGTAGTGTGTGGGTGCAGGAGCCCTGGTGGCAGAGTGGGTTGCATGTTGAGCTGCTAACAGCAAGGTCAGCCCTTGGACACCGCCAGTCATTCCTGAAAGGTGAGGTTTTCTGTTCCCGTAAAGAATGACAGTCTCAGAAACTCACAGGGACAGTTCGACTCCACTCGATAGTGTCACCATGAGTCTACATCGACTCTGGCAGTGAGTTTGAGTTTTTTGTATATAGTGCAGTGAATTACTTGATAGAACTCTTCTAGCCTTAGTCTTCAACTCTCACCAAGTAACTGCATGGGAATATGCAAATAAGGTGTACGGAACCCAAATGTGGGGATTGGTCAGTTTTGCCATCCCTCTAAGTTTAAAGGGAACCATCTCAGAAGCACCCTATGGACCCCTGGGGCCCCTTCAGGCTGAATCTTCTCAGTCTAGGAGGGAGAATGCTGCGAACCGGAGGAGCAGCAAAGGAACGACAGCAGCAGAATTAGGAGCAGGCCACAGGTTTTGGGCTTCCTGGCCCACAGAGCAAGTAAAGCTGAGTGCCTTCGGGCAGGATGCTTGCTTGCAAAATGGGTTGGCTTTAGGCACATTTCATCAAAGGAGTTAGGTTTCCTGATCCATGTAGCTGGAGCTGAGTGCCTTCAAGCTGAGGCTTATGGTAGAGTGGAGTACCTACCCCTTGGACATATTTTGGCAATGCTAAAAGAGTTTTGTAAGGTTGAGAAGGGGACACTGGTCAAGGAAGGATTCAGCCATGGGCTTGCTTGTAAAATATAAAACATCCATGCTATGCTTCTGTATGAAGGAAATTTAAATTTCTCATATAAACATTCCTTCCTGCTGTGCATGCATTTTTTAAGACTTCTCTTTTGTCTTCTATGCATGCGCGCGCGCGCGCGCGCGCACACACACACACACACACACACACACACTGTTAGAGCTGCTGAATATTAAAGTGTTGAAAGTTAATCCCATCTCTTTGTTTTCTTTCTTCCCCGGCTTTGTTCTCTTCTTCCTATTCTTGACACCAATAATGAGGTTTGTTTCTGTTTTTCACTAGTTCTGGGACCATTTGGACCACACGATGTTTTTCCAAGACTTTAGACCATTTTTAAGTAGCAATCCACTGGACCACGATAATCGAACCCATGAGAGGGGTCATCAAACGCACACCGACTTCTGGGGACCCAGTCGTCCTCCACGACTGCCAATGACTCGGAGATACAGATCCCAGGGAAGTACTCGTCCCGAGAGGTCCCCAGCTATTGAAGGGTAAGTGCAAAATTATTGT